TGGTTTACTTGAAAAGTTAACCGTTCCAATGTTTAGAGCAGTACACAACTCATTACATCTGAATTTTAACCTGGATTATTGGAGCGTCTAAGAAATTTGGGGGACTACAGTATTCTAACTCGAGTGCAGATGTTACGAAGATCACAGAGATAGGATCAGGCCAAACCGTTTACTATTTTAAAAGCAAAGCAAGCAAAATAAATCTTAAAATCAGTCCTATGGCAAACAGGAAGCAGATCATAGCTATCTAGAACCAGATATATCAGCTTTTGTTTTAAAGTATCTGTTAAAATATGAAATGCCACATTTTGGACAATTTGTAAGCCAGGAAAAGATTAATTATCTTATCAAACATTCTAGACAATACAATTGTCATGATGGGTTCACTAAAGCGACCCAAGAATGCAGAACACCCCTGACGGACACAAGGATGAAAGTTTAACAGTTTATTTATGGACAAGCACACAGAATATACTGGTTCAGGTTCGGGGCCTGGGTTCTGGTTCACCGGAGTCTGCGTGAGAGACAGTTCAGTTAGTGTTGCCAACAGGGGTTTGATTTCCTGAAGTTTACTGATTGTACCTTGAGGGTTCTTGAGGTTAGCTTAGGGAGAGTCACTGTTGGTTCTGGAGAAGAGTTCATCAGCAGAGTCCGTTTGCTGCTTCAGCGTCTCACGTCTACTTTGAACAGACCTTGGCTTAGGGTTTACCAGCTCTAGTCCAGAGCTGCTTGGAGGTTCTCTGTGAATCTTCAGGTTTGGCTCTGAGGGTCGGCTCGGCAGGTTAGCTCTTCCTGAGCTTTCACAGAGGAGGCACAGGTTTCCTGGAAAACAGAAACAGGGATTTGAATCCAAGCTGGATTCAAAAGTCATAGAATTACTCTGAGGATCTAGGCTTAAGCGCTGACCAACTGGAACAACACTGCGGCGTTGAGGCAAGGTCTGAAGACAGCTTAAGTAGTGGATCCTCTGATGATCTTGACGAGCTGCAGCTGTGCAGGAGGCTCCCTCAGAGGATCCACGGCGGACTCTGCTGGAGAAAGGTGGAATTTCTCCAGCTCCCAAAAACAATAGTCCAATCAGGAAGTATTAACAGCATGAATCAATGTTTCTTTGGTGGGAAGCAACTGGACTTTATGATTGTGTTTATCCTTTTGTTTAGTTTTAAAGCAGTATCTAAAATAAAACCCAGATTTATGACAGCAGAATGACTAGAGCCAAGGAACCCAGACTGTCAAGGGTTAAATATTTCTCTGTCATTATCTTTGCGCTGATGCCTGGCTCATTTCATTCTCCTGTCTAGCTCCATCCATTTTCTAGTGACCGTTCATCTGATCCATCTGCTCCTGCTTCTATTTAACCTGCCAGTTTCCAGTCATCATGGCTGATAAATCTCGAGCCAGTGGTGAGAGCTTTTCAGCATTACCTTAGTGTTTCTGATTACCTGTTCTGCCCCACTCCCACAGACTGCCACTCTGGCTCCCTGAGCAATACCCTTAACCCCACACTGCTCCCCGGGCACCGCACAATGGCAGCCCACTGCTCCACAAGGGGATGGGTTATATGCAGAGAATTCATTTCGTTGCTCTGTACTTGTGACAGTGGAATGACAATAAAGTTGAATTCTATTTTATTCTATTCATTAGCTGTTGCCACAGGAAACAGCCAGTCTTCCTGGGGTCCAGATTGAAAACATACAATACAAAAGCACAGTCACAAAAAATTACATTTCCAAAAAAATGTCATTTCTTGACACAGGGTTTAAGCAATGATCAGAGAATGGACAAAATAACTATTACAGCCAATAAAAAGAAGATAAAATGAAACATCCAATGAAATAACATTTCAGGGCTCTAATGACCTCAGAAATTAGGACCCGATATCCAGACAAACAGACTGGGATGATTTTCAACAGGATTTATTTTAAAACAGAAGAATTACAATGAGTGGCTGGGCGTCAGTGGAACGAATACTCTGTAGAGATAGGAAACACAGGTCAGTGACAAAAATGTCGGGCTGATCGGGAATTGGAGCAAAAGTCACTGACCTAATTCAAAGTTCAGTCCATTTTTTGCGTCCATGGCTTCTTCCAGAACTCCGAGTGAAGATGAGCTGACTCCAGCCAATGCTGAGGGAGCAACAGTTTCCATGAGGGGAATCAAAGCTGAGATCAGTGAAACAGTCCAGGATCTGTAAACCAGCATAATCGAGGAAAAACAGTAAAAAAAAAATAAAAATCAAAAACAGACAGAGCAGACAAGGGCAAGGCAAAAACTCGAATAGCCAAATAGAAAATATGTCAGGATCAGAATAAGAGGCAAGAATCATTTTATCGCTAGTGTTACTCCCATAACAGCTTGAATAATCTCATATGATGTAATGTTGTGTGAAATGTTCACAGTCTTGTTTAATTGAGATACTTTCTCAAAATCATGGTGTTATTTTTGATCAGGACCTGCCATTTCAATCCCATATCATAGAATTTCCTTCTTTCATCTTAGGAATATTGCAAACATTAGAAATCTCCTGTCCAGGGGTGATGCTGAGAAACTAATCCATTCATTTTTGCTTCAAGGCTGGACTATTGTAATTCTTTTGTCATAGTTTTGGTTCTGTTATGTTTTTTTTGTCTATTCTGTTTACTTTGTTCCATGTTTTTCTAGTTTTAGTTGTTTAATTCTTATTTTGTTGTGTGTTCTGGTTATTTTCAGTTGTCAGGTTTTTATTTGTTGCCCTCTGCTGCTCTCTTGTGTTCCCCTTTTTCCCTAGCTCCTTTCCTGTTCTACTCACACCTGCTCTCAATCTGCTCTTTAGTTCTCTCTTTGTTTCAGTCCCCCATACATACACTCTCTGTTAAGTTCCTCAGTGCTGGTTCCTCGTCAAACTTCCTCCAACTCCGTCTTTCTGAGTCTTCCTCATCGTGATTGTTTTTTCCCCTGATGTCTCCATGGTATCTCGTTAGTTTGACTTTGTTTTAATGTCTTGATTTTTGGATTTTTCCTGCCTCTGTGTTTATTTGTTTGTTTATTCATCATAAAGTCATCAAGAAACTCCCCTCTGCCTCCCTGCCTCTGCATTTGGGTCCACCAACCTCAACCAAATCCTGACATCTTTAATATCAGGAAGTCCACAAACTGTAGTCAAAAGCCTTCAGCTAATCCAAAATGCTGCAGCCAGAGTTCTGACAAAAATTTAAAGAGATCATATTGCTCCTATCCTGGCTTCTCTTTATTGGCTTCCTGTTAAATCCAGAATAGAATAGAATTTAAAATCCTCCTTCTCACATATAAAGCCTTAAATGGCCAAGCTCCATCTTATATCAGAGATCTGATTGTTCCTTATGTTCCTAACTGAGCAATTAATTCTCAGTCAGCAGGTTTACTTGTGGTTCCTAGGATTTCTAAAAGTAGTCTGAGTGGCAGATCTTTAAGTTATCAGGCTCCTCTCCTGTGGAACCAAATACCAGTTTTAGTCCTTGAGGCAGACACCCTGTCTGCTTTTAAGGCTAGGCTTAAAACTTTCCTTTTTGATAAACCGTAGAGGTAGTGTGGCTCAGGATATCCTGAGCTATCTCTATAGTTCTGCTGCTATAGTCTTAGACTGCTGGAGGACATATGGACCCCATTTTCAGCATTCTATCTCTATTTTCCCACTCTGCAGAATCTGTTAGTTCAATCTGTAATGTTATGGTCTCTCTTCTTTTTCTCATAGTAGCTTTGCCTCATCGTTTCCTGTTTGGCTGTGACTCCATCCTGGAGATAAATATCAGCTGTGCTGCTGCCATCAACACCTTTGTTTATAGATGTACAAGAAAGGCCTGTTTTTCAGTGTAGTCCTGTTTCTCTGACTGTGACTGGCTGGATGTGCTCTCCTCATCTTCTGACATGGGAGCAGACTCAGAGCTTGTCTGCCTGGCTGTGTGTTTCCTGTGTGTTGCCTTTGACAGCTCCCCTTTTATTCTCTGCTTCTCTCTCCTTGAACCCCAGTGGGCCTCAGCAGATGGCCGCTCACACTGAGCCTGGTTCTGCTGGAGGTTTCTTCCTGTTAACAGTATTTCCTCTCCACTGTCCCTACAATAATGCCTATTGTGAGAGATTGCCTTCCAGTCAATGAGTTGATGCAGTTAACTGGTTTTTCTTAGATAAAAGTCTTTGAATCGATTTGACTGCATGATCTGATGAACTGTAAACTGCCTTGCGATGACATATGTTGTAAATTGGTGCTACATAAACTGAATTGAAAATAGTAATCATTAAAATGATTAGAAATATCACCTGGCTTTGTGAGAACAAATCCATTTGATTCTACAAAGGGTGTCCAAACTGTTAACTTCCAATTTCATTACATAAGTTCCATATTTCTCTACTATTGTGCCTCGAATGATATAGCCTTTCTTTAAAGTACTCCTTTCTTTTTTTTTTCACCTTATTTAATTTTGACTTGATGCGTCAAGTCAAAGCTGCGTCTAGCTGCGTCTCTCTCTGCCATTAGCGTCGTAACACTAAGGTTAAGCAACGGGAAAGGGAGGATATTTGTTTTCAACATCCATAAACATTGACATGAATAAATCCAGTGCCGCTTCAGGGCTATGCTCACTACAAACCATGTCCCAGTTTACATTAGTGACTTCACTTATAAATAAACCTTCAATAAATTGCTTATAGGACCTTTTTAAAATCATTTTAGCCTTAGGTTTGGGAAATTATTTTTTATTTTTTTGCAATTTACAATACTTTAATAAAAAGTTTCAGCATAATTAAGTACAACATTACACTTTTTTGTGCAGAAGTTTCAAATTTCTGCAACTGTACAAGATTAACTTCCGCTGAGAGAGAGAGAGAGAGAGTTCACAAGGTCTCATTCTTCTACTTTAACTTTTTTTATGCTTTAGACATCGTCTAGTCCTTCATGTGCCAACATTTCTGACAAGACAAGACACATTTTTTTGTTTGTTTTTACAGTAACTAAACCAAGTTTGTTCTGTACACGTTCAAACGGGGGGGGGAGAGAGGGGAGGGGAGGGGGGGAGGTTAAGGTAGAGGGAGGGGAAATAATCCCATATAACGCACCTTCCATTTCCAGAAAGGACCCACAAATAAGAAGTCTTAAATTAAATAATAATAATAATTATAATAATAATAATTAGGTGTCCAAACAGAAAAACACATCACATCAGATTGTCCCATAATAAGCAAAAGTCTCTTGATTTCAGAAAAAAATAAAATAAAATCCAGGCCTGGAGGAAGAGGAGGAGTAGAAGGGGGGGGGGGAGTCCTGCTCCTCAGGTCCTGTGTGTGTTTTCTGTGTCTTGACCAAACACCGCGTTAACGATGCAGAGTCTGGCTGTCGTCTGTCAGCAGCTCTGACGGAAACTCCGGAGACTGTAATGACAGGATGCTGATGTCTGTGTTGAGCGCGGTCAGAGGGGTCCTGGACGCGCTCTGCCCCGGCCGCGCCGCGGGGTGATGCAGGCTGGAGTCCAGCGCGATCTGCAGGTCCAGGATGTAGTCGATGACATGCTGCAGGATTTCCATCTTGCTGACGTTCTTGTTCTGCTGGATACTGGGAACCAGCTCCTTCAGCTTGGAGTAGCAGTCGTTCATGTTGTAGAGCAGGCTGAGCGGGTCGTCCACCGGGGTCTTGCTCCGGGAGATTCCCAGGGAGTGCTCCGAGAAATTTGTGCCGGTTTTCCGGAAGGACCGAACAGGGCTTATTGCTTTCATTCTGCTGGGGTGGAAGAGTTTAGTCGCCCTTGTTCTGTGTGTAGGAGGAGGGGGGGAAGAGTTGGCTTCCAGGCTTCGGTTCGGTTATTCCTGCTTAGTTTCTGTCAGACGGTCAGAATCTTTGTTTTTCTAGTAACAGCGATTATATATTGGTCAGTAAAAGCTACAGGCACAGAAATTGCCTTGGAGCACTGCAGAGCAGCATTTGTGTGGATGTGGTCATTGCATTTTCCACAGATAATCCCATCATTCTAATGTTTAATCTTGAGGGGACTTCAACAATTTGGGATAGACCACTCCTTCTAAATATAGATAGTAACTTTTTTCCTGTTGGGACAACACTGCACCAACCAGTCAACATTTGCATCACCCAGCAAATAAACCTCACTATATTTATCTGATGTCTTATCAAACAGTTCACACAAACCAGTCATATACACAGCATCTGGAGTAGGGGGCCTGTAGAAGCAACAAACTAAAAGTGGTTTTAATTAAGGCACCTGTATTTGTACAGAGCATGCTTCAATGTCTTCCCTCATCAAAACGAAACATATTTTGGAAGGTGAATTATCGTGTACATATAGACCCACTCCACCCCCAAATCTATTTCTGTCTTTATTAAAAACACAAAAAAACATCTATGGTTATGCTTGAGTCAGAGAAGGAATCATTAAGATAGGTCTCCGAAACAAAAATGATTTTAAAACATGACTACCTTATGCAAGTTCAAGTTAATGCAAGACATATCCTCACTGGGCACAATCAAAAACAACAATATAACTATAAAAGCAGCTTGACATCAAACCACGGACTCATACAATTTCTTCTAAATTCTCTAAGCTCCTGAGGACTAGAAGTCGTGCATGCTCAGGAGCACCATTAAGTCTTACATGGATCTTACAATCTGAGGACCATTTTGCCTGTATTGTTCCCTTTTTGCACAGGCAATGGGCTCCCTTTTTTCAATGTCAGCATTGCTCTTGGTAAAATGTTCAATAATATTAATTTTATTAATATAAAGATTGCAACCTTTTAGCTTCTTGGCTTGTTGCAAAGACTGATTTTATACTTTCTGTTTACAAATCGCATGATGATGTTAGGTGGCTTACTTTTGTCCATTTGAGGGAAAGGGTTACAAACTTCATTGTTCTCCTTTTTTATATTAATACCGTTTCCATATAGAAAATTCTCCACCTGTTGCTCCACTGGGTCCAAATCCTGGTCCGTTGGCAAAGAACCCTGGACTCACTGCAGTCCCTCACTGCAGTGGCAAATAAAGAGGGTCTTGTTGAAAGTCCTGTTATAATGTCACTAATTCATGTATATTGCTCTAACTCAGATAATCTACCTTCTAGGTGTACAATCTTAGCATCTTTCTCCTCGTTTTGCTTTTTCAGTTCTTTAATGTCTCATCATGCCCATCAGAGAATCTTGCTTACTTGCCATACTGTATTTTCACGACTATAAGGCGCATATAAATGTCTTTTTTTCCCCTCAAAATGTGCGGCGCGGCCTATAGTGCAGTGGCCCTATGTGTTTTCTTACTGCGGATGTTGTTGAGACCACCATGAGAACGTTAAAGGGGGAAGTGAGGGTGTGGATTGTGTATAAAAGAACAGGTATGTCTCCTCATTGAGGAGATGATGAAAGACTGGCTGAGGGAGGTGTATGTAAGGAGACCAGGTGTTTTTTTCCACGCATCGCCATCGCTGTTAATCTGTGACTCCATGCGTGCCCATCTCACAGTCGACGTGAAAAACATGGTGAAAAAAATTAACGCTGTGCTTGCTGTTTTTCCGGGAGGTCTGACAAAGGAACTTCAACTGCTCGACATCGGTGTGAACCGGCCTTTCAAAGTAATGCTACGTTCACACGTCTGCTGCTACATTTTTGCTGCTTGTACCAGTTAGTTCTGATGCGCGGCTAAAGCAGCTTTGCTGCTCTGGCTGAGCGGTGCAAAAGTATGTCTGACGCGCGTTGGGCGGAGCTACTCTATCGTTTCTTTGCCTTGCATCTATATTTGCTGTGATCAGTGGGAATAAAGTAGTTTTAATATGTTTTTAAGTGAGAAAGTCCACCTGAAAACTTAATCATTGCAGTCAGTTCATCCAGTTAGTTCTGATGCGCGGCTAAAGCAGCTTTGCTGCTCTGGCTGCGCGGTGCAAAAGTGTGTCTGACGCCCGTTGGGCGGAGCTACTCTATCCTTTCTTTGCCTTGCATCTATATTTGCTGTGATCAGTGGGAATAAAGTAGTTTTAATATGTTTTTAAGTGAGAAAGTCAACCTGAAAACTTAATCATTGCAGTCAGTTCATCCAGATTACCATCCTGCCTTTTAATATTAGTTCTGTCGGAGCCGCTCAGACTCTGTTGAATCCCATTCAACAGCAGCCTCTGGCCGGGTCGCCTTCTCGCGGTTCACTGCGGCAGCTATGTAAATAATCTAATCTGCAGGCACCAGGATAATAAAAGTGAACATATTCTGCCGGCAGATTTCTGCATTTTAAGTTAATTTATGCGTCAAACTGTTTCAGAGGAGTGATCACAACGCTCTGTGTCATCAGCGATGTGTCTGCCTCACGGCCAGCTCCCAGGTTTGATTAATACTTTGTAATAAATACGTGAATAAAGCACAATCATACTGAGTTTAGCTCCCGCTCTATTTTTAAATACGCAGTAGAGGTATTTAAACGTGGTAGAGGACATGTACCTATAAAACCCACGTCCTATAATCCGGTGCGCCTTATGTGTGTGTTAAATACAGTAATGGCACACATAACTGAGACTGCACCTTTTAGTACGGTGCGCCTTATGGTTGTGAAAATACGGTAGTTTCCATTTGGTGTGCCATGAACTTTACTGATTTCCTCAGCTCCTCATTTGCTCGTTTTAACTCCTCCATGTCTCTTTTGGTTGACATGGTTGGCAGTCCCAGCGTGGCAGTCCCAGCAACCAGGGCAGATTACACCTGGTGGTGGATGCCTCGCCTGGTGTTGCAAACTGCTGCCTGGCCTGGTGTTGCAAGCTGCTGCCTGGCCTGGTGTTGCAAGCTGTTTCCTGGCCTTGTGGTGGAGGCTCCTGCCTGGTAAAACATTGCACTGCACAGCTTTTGCAGTGCAGTGCAATGTTTGATTTGATTTTGTTGAAAAGGGAAGAAATGTTTGCCAAGTCCTCAGTATATAATGTTGTACAGTAGGGTGACCAAACGTCCATATTTCCTGGGACATATCCGTATTTCACGTCCTGTCCCGGGCGTCCCGGGTTTTTTTTAGAAAGTGAGGAAATGTCCTGATTTCACTGCGCACAACGCTCCGTGTTACGTAATCCCTGAGCCGCGTCAGTGCAGGCAGCCCTGTTCTTAATCCGAGGCTCTGTTTGAAAACCTAGGACGCATCCTCCAAGGACGCGGTCTACCTAGACTGGATCCTTCGAAGTCCTTGAAAATGAGGAGGCCGGAAGTGTTTTGGCTGTAAATTCGAACAGGTCCTCCCTTCAGCGGGTTTTACCGCCGTATGCTCTGTTGCTTATCAACCGTGAAAGTTGACACACAAAGCAGGAAAAGAATGAATACCGAGGTTTTCAAAACTGTTTGTTTATTCATTTATTTTTTAAAAAGTTAAAGTGAACAAAGACTACTCTCACAAGAATCCAGAGTGGAATAAAGATTCCAACCACCGGGAGCAGGAACAAATAAAATCTAATGTAATGATAGAAACCTTAGTCAGTTAAATAACCTGCTGCTGTCATTCTGCACATCTCTGATGTTGCTGCTATTTTTCAAATATCCATTACTGTAAAAATGTCCACAGCTGCATATTGGTTATTTATTCTCCAGTTTTATATTGTTAAAACACTTTACAGAATTTTATTTTTTATATTTTAACTCTTCCCTATTATTTTATTCTTAGACATTTTTCTAAGGTCCTCATTTGTGTGACCATTTTCAATAATCTTTCTGCTGCTGTAAATTTGCCCATTGTGGGACAATAAAGGGATTTTCTACTCGATTCTATAAAAGGGGTAGAGAGATATAAGTAAATCTAAACAATGTATCTACAAAATGTATCTGCAAAATCTCTAATATTCAACAACAAAAAATACTTATTTAAGCATATTGTGCAAAACAACAATAAAAAAATTAAACTCCTATCAGATTTATAGTTCCCACTCTGCAGATTTATTAGAATCTGTCCTTAAATTACAGCCAAACCCATTTACACAGTAACAGATTAAAACCTTTAGATAAATGAAACATTACCGCCACATATCTGACTCTATAACCATTAAAACAACTAGTAACAAGTAACATTTCCTCTCATCACGGAGCAAATCCCGATGATGACACATTTGTTCTTTCAATCAACCCCCCCACCCCGCTTCAAGGTGTCCTGGTTTACCCAAATGAAAATATGGTCACCCTATTGTACAGTATCACAATATCAACCCTGTTTCTTTACATAGGCTGAGGTTGAAAGAAGGAACCTAAAGTATGACATTTGGGAGTTTCTTAGGGTTGTCTTATTGTTTTTCTATCCATTTGTTGTTTTTTTCTTTTCTATTTTTGTTCTATAGTTTAGTTTTCTTAGCTCTGATAATGTTTTCTTATTAACCATATTCTCTCCACTATAGTTTACCACTACCACACAATTTATAGGTTCTCACAGGGTGCACTAGCAATTCTTTCCCCTTTTAGCACCAGATCATTTCATTCTGTGAGGAGTAAATATGATAGTCTATTGGTCTGCTGGACATAAACAACATGTTTATTGGTTAATAGCGAGCGTTTGATAGAGGTTTAATTTCTAATTTGCAATTTCTTTTATAATTTCTATATACAAAAGGTATTCTTTGCAACAATAATGGAACAAAATCCACTCCATATAGCACCACATCTTGCTTATTTGCAAAGTACTAAACATTTTGCAAATAAAACTACGTTTGATAGTGATATTAGTTTATTTTATAACATTGTAAATCCAGGTATTTAGAGAACAGCAAGATCACAGCAGCTCATTA